GGGGGGCGTGTCTGGCGGGGGGGCGGGAAATAAGGGAGCTGCGGCCGTGACATGTAAAATGTAATTATACGGTGCAGCTACCCCGAAAATAAGACCTAGCGATATCAGGGATTTCTGTAATATAAGACCTACCACGGAACTAGGTCTTATTTTCGGGGTAGGTCTTACTTTCGGGGAAACACGGTATAATATAATAATTTAAGAAATGTTTACTGCGACTACACGCCGTCATAAGTACATCAGCAGCTGAGGACCTTGAAGCAAATTCTGACTCTAAATGGGAAGTTATACATTGTCAGGTATATAACACATTTACCGAGACACAGGTGGAAGTTGAATCCATGTTCTTTGGTATACGAGACCAAATTGTGTGTCTTACCACTTGGTCATTGTACCCGACGTATCTAGGTTTATTTATTTCCCTTTAATGGGTAGATTGTTATTTTGCAACGATTCAGCACGAAAAAGGGGGAACACCAATAACACAAGATTTGCAGAGCTTGGTGGGGTTTTCTAAAAGGAATACTCAAAGACCAGGTTGAAACCTCTAGTTATTGCTCTGACTTAGTTGTTTGTGTAAGTTGGGGCTTGAGCTATTGACCTCTCTACACAACAGGCTTGCTAAAAAGACTGTTTCCAGTGTCTCCTATGGACTCCTTGTGTGTCTGCACTCTGAGGTACATACCTTTACACACCCTACTCCTAGAGAGCTACAGTATATTTATCATTCATGTCTGATCTGGCAGCATCACCATCCCTGCGTATCGTCTGTGAGTTCCAACATTGCTATTGTAGTACACACGACATTCTCCTAATGAGCCAGCAACCTCTGTGCATCAGTCTGCTTGTGAGCCACTGAACCCAGATGTGCCTCTCCTGCCACTGACTCCGGGTCTTTAGTGTTTACTCTATCTCCTCTGTGTACCATGTACTTGAATGTTATAACAGACATCTTGCTCTGAGAGAGTCACACACAGATATCAGTACTGTGTTGCAGAAAGAACAAGAACGCATATGGAGAAAAGCTACCACGAGGAACAGATTCACAGAAGGGTGAAGAGTTTGGAGAAGCGGACAATCTTGGACACCATGGCTGAATTGGAGGATTTTTCCAGTTCACTTCTCCGGCCTTCTCCAAACTCTTCACCCTTTTGTTGAATAATCCTATAAATGTTTCAATTCATAGTAGTATGCAAGCAGATTATAACTTCTTAGTAAATACTAAGTCACGCACATGCACAGGAGGTGTGCATTTTGGGAAGCTTATCGATTATTTAATTCAATGAGAAAACACACACTGTTAGGCACAGATGGGGATTGAACCCATGATCTTTGGTTTACGAGACCAACGCCTTCCCACTTGGCCACTGCGCCTTTCTGCTGTATGTCTTAGAGTAGACTACTCCTTTTAGAAAACCCCACCAAGCTCTGCAAATTTTGTGTCATTGGTGTTCCCCCTTTTTCATGCTGAATCATTGCAAAATAACTATCTACTAGTGGTGAACAAAGCAGTCACATGACCACTGGAGCTCAAGGGAAGGTCCTTTGGTACTGAGGGATGAGGCACCATCTTCACATTATCTACACTGGGGTAACCTTCCAATCATGTGGATGGGCAGGAGAGACTGCAAGTCTCCGGTCTGTCAATCAGCCCTTGCAGTCATAGCGGGGCCGACCATCCTGGGTCCTCCCATCAAAACATGATTACAAAGGGACATTTATATGACCAGTGGCCACTGTTGTAAATGGCATAACAGCAACAGGTCTAATGAAAAGGATATCTAGATGAGTGATTTTTAAAAAGTTTGCTCCAACATTAATGGAAGACCCAACAGCCCCCTACTCCCTGTCATACATTCTCATGGCTTCGGTCTAAGACCAAACATTTTCATGTCAAAATTTTACTGCAAGATAAACACCTCTAGCAGTACCCTAGTAGCTGAGGGCCTTGGGGCAAATGTTGATACTAACCAGAATGTAATACTTATTCAGCTATATAAGGAAATTGTCATCAGTTACTATATGGCACAGATGGGGGTTGAACCCATGATCTTTGCTTCACAAGGCCAACACCTTACCACTTGGCCACTGTCCCTTGCATGCTGATGGCTTTGTTTCTTTTGATGGGTTGATCATTATTTTGCATATATGCAGCATGAAAAAGGGGGAACAGCAATGACATGAGATTTGTAGAGCATTGTGAGGTTTGCTAAAAAGAATACTCAGCAGCAAACGGTCCATTTTCATGGATGTTACGACGGTGTGTAGTCGCAGTAAACATTTCTTAAATACATATACTATAAAGTGACTACTGACTACATTATTTGAGCAAGTGATACAATCTATTGTCCCAATGAAGTCCATTTTAAAACCAATAGCGGAAAGGCGCAGTGGCCAAGTGGTAAGGCGTTGGTCTCGTAAACCAAAGATCATGGGTTCAATCCCCATCTGTGCCTAAGGGATCTATTATTGTATTTGGCTATCATAGAAGACATCTTCTATTTGTCTCTGCACTTACCTAGACTTCATCATCTGCCCATCTATGGTTGCAAGGGCTGATTTACAGGCTGGAAACTCCCACTCTGTCCCTGCCCATTGACAGATTATCCAAATGACAATGATGTGACATTGGTGCTGCTCATGCCTCCCCCTAGTGGCCGGGCATCTCTGCTTAGGTGAGGGGAACATCATTTTCCATTTAGCAACATCCCGGGAAATGTGCAGTACTCCAATCCCAGCACTGTGCTGCAGTGTCATCTTGCCAGATTTGGAGTACTCAGCATTGTCTGCAAACTCATCATAGGATAATGACCTCTTGAAATACAAGGGTGGGGATGAGGTGGAGCCATATACCCAGAAGTCATCAGCTGTTAGTGAATACCACATATCACGAAGTATACGGCTGGCCATGGAATATAGGAGGCTTTGTACAGCAAGTCCATAGCATGACACAAAAAAATCTGCTTGTCTGAGCCACTAACTAAACTCAGGTCAGTTCCTGACTAACTGGGCACCTCCTCATGGGTTCCCCAAAACAAAATGGCAGCTCTTGTACCTTTTATAGTGTTCTGTCAGGTGTCATCCTTTTCATTCTAGGAGCAAAGAAAGAGAGTCCTAAGCATCAGTCAGCTCCCATATATAAAGTCCAATAAAACAAAAAAGTAGTAAGCGCTGTACTCTGGTGGAAATTGGGAATGTATTAAAAGACTAACAAGGGGGAGGGGGGTGTGCAGCCTCCATGAACAGGGAGATGAACCCCGTGGAAAATGTAGTGGAAAATAATGTTCCCCTCACCTAAGCAGAGATGCAGCAGATGCCCGGCCACTGGGGGAGGCATGAGCAGCACCAATGTCACATCATTTGCATTTAGATAACCTGTCAATGGGCAGGGACAGAGTGGGAGTCTCCAGCCTGTCAGTCAGCCCTTGCAGTCATAGATGGGCAGAACAGACTGGCCCGGGTCCTTCCACAGGTAGTGGCAACATAGTTATGATGTCACCCATAGAAGAGAATTGGTAGGAGGCATTTACACCACCAGTTGCTGTGGGTGCAGCCAGCATAGAGGTCACTGGTCTTATAAAAAGGAATTTAATGAGTGAGCCTACAATGGAGAATACGAGGGAGAAATTATTTTTTTGAATTGATTTATATTGAAGATGACAATAATTGGCCAAATGAGGTTTTAAAAAATAGTATCAAAAGTAACACAGACCGCAACCACTGCAAACTGCGAGCGCGTTCTCAGGACTTCTATCGGTTTTTTTTCCCTCTCTTTCTTTCTTTCTTTCTTTCTTGACCTTCAAGGAAAAGGCGCAGTGGCCAAGTGGTAAGGCGTTGGTCTCGTAAACCAAAGATCATGGGTTCAATCCCCATCTGCGCCTAATGGGATGTGTTATTATAGTCGGCTATCATAGTATAAATCTTCTATTTGTCTCTGCACTTACCTAGACTTCATCATCTGCTAGTTAATACTAAATATCACAGAGTATACATGCGGTCATGTAAAACACCAGATTAATAACTTCCAATCAATAAGAAAAGATAAACATTATCTAATATGTCGTAGTTTATCTTGATGGTCGTAAGCAGAAAGAAAATCAGGAAGTCCGGAGGACATGTTAGCAGGTTGTAATGATCTCTCCGTTATTGTTTCTTCTGCAGCAAATGTTTCATTCAGCCTGATGGCTGCTTGGTGGTGGCCTCTGTTATACCCAAGGGGCCCTGATGCCATTGCATTGGGTCAGTGGTGCAGGGCAAGGATCCAATGATCCTGTGATCTCTAAACCCCTTCCTTTTTAGACTTTTAGTGGTGAACAAAGCAGTCACATGACCACTGGAGCTAAAGGGAAGGTCCTTTGGTACTGAGGGATGAGGCACCATCTTCACATTATCTACACTGGGGTAACCTTCCAATCATGTGGATGGGCAGGAGAGACTGCAAGTCTCCGGTCTGTCAATCAGCCCTTGCAGTCATAGCGGGGCCGACCATCCTGGGTCCTCCCATCACAGCATGATTACAAAGGGACATTTATATGACAGATGCCCAGGTTGCCTATCCCTGGTCTATTTCATCAGCGTTCATGTGTCATCTGGCAGCATCAACATACCTGCGTACCCTCTGTGAGTTCCAACATTGCTATTGTAGTACACTAAGCATTCACTATGGAACCTCTCCCTATATGCATCGGTCTCCTTGTGAGCCAGTGAACCCGGAAGTACCCAACTGCCACTAGCTCTAGGTCTTTAGTGTTGAATCTATCTCCTCTGTGTACCACGGAGCTCAGTGCTGGAACAGACTTCTTCCTCTGAGAAAGTCACACAGACAAATATCATGTCTGCATAAACATGGAGAAAAGCAGCCATCAGGCACAGATGGGGATTGAACCCACGATCTTTGGTTTACGAGACCAATGCCTTAGCACTTGGCCACTGCGCCTTGCTCTGGCACCCCAGAGAAAGGTCCAGTTTCAAAATGTTCACACATTACAAAAAGAAAATTGAAAGAGAGATAGTTTGCCTTGAAGGTCAAGAAAGAAGGGGAAGGAAAAATAAAACAAAACAAGAAGGAAGTCCTGAGAACGCGCTCGCAGTTTGCAGTGGTTGCAGTCAGTGTTACTTTTGATACTAATTTTTAAAATCCTTATTTGGCCGAAGGCGCATGCGCAAGCTTGACCAAGATGGCAGCACGCTAATCAGCTCCGCGCCGGAACGGGAGAAAATCTGACTTTTACGGTAGATCACCGGACTCGTTTTCGCACCCGATTTAGATCCATAGACTCGGGCTCTCATCGCCGATCGGTAGATACCGAGATGTCGCAGACTAGAAGTCGGGGTGGTAAGACGAATCAACCGACCCTCCACGAGGCCTTAGGCCGCGCGGCTCATAAACTGGCTGCAGCGCCGCCACTCTCTCATCAAGAGGACTCTAATTCCTCGATGGAACCCCAAGATCCACAGGGAGACAGCCTTCAGATGGCTCAGTCCGACCCTGAGATGACACCATCCCTGATGGCCCAATTTGAGGTAACCCTCCACAAAGCCTTGGACAAGGTTTCTAAGCAGATCACCTCACAGCTCATTAGGGAAATCAGGGATGTGGGCAAACGAACTTCCACATTGGAATCCCGCTGCAACGACATCACTACCATCATTGAGGGTCATGAGGAAGACTTGGAAAAACTTCGCTCACTGAATCTAACCCTTCTCACGCAATTGGAAGACACTGAGAACCGGGACCGCAGATCTAATCTGCGCATCAGAGGGGTCCCAGAGGCGGTGACAGATCTCCAATCCACTATAACTGCACTATTTCAGGAACTAGCGCCTGATATTCCTATAGAGAGGATGGAATTTGACAGGATTCACAGGGCCTTAACGAGACGCACGCCTGACGGTCCACCGAGGGACATTATCGTGCGTCTCCACTTCTACCGCACCAAGGAACACCTGCTTCGAGCGGCGAGGGAAGCTGGGGCCCTGAATTTCCAAGGTTACTCATACCAAGTCTATACAGACCTTTCACCAGCCACTATTGCACGTCGACGGGACTTTAAACCTCTGCTGCAAGTCCTGCAGGCCAAGAAAATTCGATACCGCTGGGGCTTTCCCTTTAAGCTACAATTCTTCTACGACGGCAAACCTTACACTTTTCTCACAGTGGAGGAGATGAGGGAATGCCTGGACTCTCTGCATTTTTGTCTTTGCTTTTCCTTCTTTTCCCACCTCATTTAGGTGGAATGCGGTTCACCCAAGAACTGCGGTTCAGCTGAGTTTTCACGAAGTGATACTTGACAGAGCCATCCCGTCCTACTCACCAAACTGTTTCAGGGGTTGCCGGGGGGAAGGGTCGGTCTATCACATTTGGTGGGATTGCCCTAAAGTGAAGAGATTTTGGCATAGAGTATACCAACTTCTGTACACCGTCACAGGCAAAACATTTCGCAAGGAACACTTGGAAGCCCTACTACATAAGAAACCGTCGGTGTGCATTGTTAGGCAATACCGTCTGGTCACATTTATACTCACTGAAGCCAAGAGGGTAATTGCGAAGGCTTGGAAATCCCCGGACATACCGTTTGCGGAGGTCAAACGTAGAGTATCGAGAGTGATGTTCTTTGAAAAACTTACTGCTCTCCAAAGGGATGCTTTGGTATCATTTCGTAAACTGTGGGAACCATGGATTGAGTCATACCATCCTCCCTCCTTTGATATGGAATCCTTGATCCTTTGATATCTCAATAACGGAAGCTTTCACAAAATGTAGATCCTGCCTCCTATCCCGACCGCTCCCCATATATCCCCTTCCTCTCCCATTCCTTTTACCTAGTTGGAACCAACCACTTCATACTTAGCCTCTGAACCTTGGTCCCGAAGTTTTCGTAACAATGTTTGTAGTACTTATACCAATGGAAGGTAGTCCTTGAGGACTGCACTGTTTGACTGTACCATTATATCATGGAAACCTGAGTTTGTAACCTTTATTTGATACTGCGTTTTAATACACACTGAATGTGAAAGTGTGATCACTGTTATAAGCATTTAACACAAAACAAATAAAAACTTATTGAAACTAAAATCCTTATTTGGCCAATTATT